GAATAATTGTTCTGCTAGTCTCGGCTCAAATAAAAAATTATACCAAAACTTGGTTTTCCAGACCGCCATTCAGGATCACCACACTCCTCCTTAAAACACATCCGTCAGGATTGTTTCAAAACCGTCAACGACACACAATCTATCTGCCTTGTCAACTTTGTAAAGGCCGTTTGTTTAGCAAAACAAAAAAAAAATTGACGCCATCTGTTAAAAAGCCAAAATCAAAAGTGCACCAAAACAACGAAAAAAATTGAAACAATCAGAAAAATCAAGAATAGTGACATATAATAAAAAGCAAAAAGAACTTATTTAGCAATAATTGTTGCCTATTGTTTCAGAAATTTAGCAAAGTAAATTTTTTTTAAATTAAAAACTACCTAATCGTATTGTGAAAAAATGCAGTGACTGCAGCTCTTAATGACTTCGCAAAAAAAAAAGAACTTAATTATTTTTTTTTTTTCCTAGCAAATAATGAAAAAAAACAGGTTAAAGAAACAACATGAAACCCGTACTGTACCATTCCAAATAAAAAAAAATTATGCAAATGATTCTACATTAGCTCCAAATGGTCACTGACTATGAATCTCCTCCAAGTGTTCCAAATTTCAAAAGATAAACCTTCAGAAAAAAAAACTTGTAAAGTGTAAATCAGAAGATCAGAAAAAAAATTTTTTTTCAGCTTTTTTCCGTATTAAAAATAAAAGCGATCTTCCCTGCACGCAGATACAGCAGCAACATTTTCCCTCATAGAATCGGCGATCAAACATCAACTGCTTTTGATCTTCAATGATACGCAGTTGCTGCGACAATCGTACAGTCCGCAACCCAACCATAAGGACCACTGTAAGAAGAATTGTAGAGGAAAACATTGAGTAGCGGTAATTGCAGAGCAGTCAAAAAAAATTCTAAGAGACTGGTCTTTTTTCTCTCAAGCTTGTCTTCTTTATACCTATAAATTCCAAGGGAAAAAAAAACTACAAATGTGCGACAAAATTTGTAGGCAAATATATATCAATCGGTGACCATAACGCAACTATCCATACGACAGATTTTAATAACGACAAATATGAATAATCTTTGTTGACCCAATATTTATAGTACAGTTGACTTTATCTTTTATACTTCACTGACGACTGAAGGCTACGTAAAAACTGTAATATATTGCGAGTAACAAAGAAATACTAATGATTACTTCAATTACAACAAAGACGAGTTCAAAATAAGTGCTAAGACTGATCAAAATATTGCCTTATCGTAAAATAAGGTTTTTTACGGCTAAAATAAAAAAAGACAAAAAAGTCAGCAAAATCGTATAATTTCGATTCTTTTTCAGTGAAAAATTTTACAACTCCTTAAAAGCTTTCACTGTTCTGCTGAATGAATGACCAAAGTGGGCACTCTTTTTCATCTAATTAACCCTATCAGACAAGGCAAAAAACTCATCGTTCCTTAGAAAACTGCAACAGAAACTGTTCTCAATGAGTGTTCAATGACCGCACAAAAATGAAGCAAACAGCTTATTTTTGGCACTAATTTAAAAACTTTCCTAAAATTCTGCTTAAAAAGTACACATGTAAGCAAAAAACTTAGTAGTTTAAACTGTACAAGACTCTTTTACAACACCCACTTTCACATTTTGCACTTGAGAAATAGTAATGAAAAGAAAAAGAGACATTTATATAAGAAATACCAATAAAATGACACCAATTTATGTCAACAAAAAAGTAAGTGAAGACCAGTAAATTTGAAAAACTTTGCTTACTGTTCCGTGTATAACAGCTAATAATTTGTAAAAAAAACTATGCTTTTTTTGAGAATATTCAAATAGATTTCGGGGAAAATAAAGATTTGATTAATTATTAAAAGACACAGGCAATCCTCATAAGTCCTTCACAAATATGTGTTTGAAAGATTTTCCTGCCAGAAAGGCATTCATATTAGCCACCTCTCTTTAACATTTCCATGAACATACGCTTTCGAAAGAAGAAAGGTCAACGACATGCGAATAATGGCAATTTTTATGCATTGAGAGGCCAACGTACCAATTCAACAACAAACCTATGCCGTTCGCTTCCTTCTGTTTTGAATGCCATAAAAAGTGTTAAAAATAAAAGCAACAAAATGTAAGGAAACTTGGCTCCAGAAATGCTGTGAAT